CTGGACCAAACAGACGCATCAAGGAAATGCCGCTATGTGTCAGTGAGGCAGCCTTTTTCGAGAACCCTGCCTGGCTAAAGGTCGGCTTCGAGCTGCTACAGTGGTTGGCGACCTTCAGCCGAGACTACTTGCTACCGAAGCTGAAGCCGAACTTTGCGGTCTTCAAGAAAAAGATGGCCGAGTGTGCGGATGTGGTCACGGTCTCGGCCGCTCAGAGAGCAGGCATCCCAGCTATAGCCCAAGGCTTCTGGACGGAGCGCTCCGAGAGGGCGGTGCTCCCACTGGACAAGGGGCCCGAGAAGGATCCTGGCGAGATGGAAACTGGCAGAGCTGGCAAGGCAGCTGGTCGAACTGGTATGGAGGATGGCAGTGGAACTCCCAGTGGCACTGGTCCTCTTCAGCTTCGACCCACTCCAATCTGGATCCGCAAGGTAGGAGTGCAGAACTGCTACCTCCCGGTCTGGACAACAATGAGAAGAACCTCGTGATGACGGCCATCAACGGCAACTTCTCTCCCCAGCGAATTGCGCAGGAACTGCGCAATCAGTTTCCGGAAGGTGAGGTCAAGCGTCGGGACCAACATCGCAAATTCCAGAGCTACCTCGGCGAGAACCTCGAGGAGACCGAATCCGACCTCGACGTGGCCGGGAACACCATGCAGGAGCTGCTGGATGACGGGCTCAACGACGAGGGTGCCGCGCTCGTGGTGGAGGCCGAACAAGAAGCTCAAGAAGCTCTGGCAGCCTTGTTCCAAGCTCGCCGGACCCTCAAAGAAGCCAGAAGCAACACCAGGTGAAGCAGAGCCGGCGCAACTACCAAAGTGGTTCGGGCTCAGGACTGACAGCCAACTAGACTGCCTCCGTGCTTACAGCGAGGACATCGAGCAGCCAATTGCCCTCAGAAGGCCACAGCCGCTCAGGTGGATGCTAGTGGTGGTTCAGGACCCGAACATCACCATGCACCGTTTGTCTGCTTCGCTGAACTGGACCAGAGCGGAACCGGGGACGAGCTCCCCAACTTGGCTGGATATGCCCAGGCGATGGCGTGGTCACATGTGAGGAAGCTTACCTCCAGCAGAGGGAAGGCCAGGGTCTCACCACACATGAAGCGGTGGCCAAGGGCATGTGCGTGACCATAGGTAGCGTCCATGCAATAGAAGCGGTGCTGTCCCAGAACCGTGCCAAACATGGCCAGAGTAGGTTGCAGAACGTCTGCTTCAAGAACCCCCCCGTGTTTTCGTTCGGCAACTCTACAGAAAACAAGTGCCTGAGCACGGCGTCCCTGGAGGTGCAAGCGGGTGGTGCTCCAGGAGTTTTGAATGTGCACACGCTAGACCATGGACAAAGTCCAGTGCTTTTAAGTATCGACACGCTGCGTAGGCTAGGAGCGATAATCGATTTTAATCACGACCTCCTAGTTTTTAGGAACCTCGACCCAGGGAAAATTGTGCGCCTTGCCAGAGGCAAGAATGGGCATCAATTACTGCCCCTTACGGATGATTGGCTTGCCAATGCTGAAACAGCTACGCAAGCGGTCCCGAGTTTGAAATCCTTCCTGGGCTAGGGACAGCTCCTCTCTCGTTTTGACCCTGACAAAAAGAGGGAGGACACAGATCGTTTTTCAGAAGATGTGGGGTCAGTCCTGACTCCTAAAGATCACTCAGAGAAGTTTGTTGGTGTGGTTCGTGATGGTAGAGTGTGTGGGGGTTCTAGTTCTGGAAACATGCGCCCTGATCAAGTGCATTGCAGCCCACAGAGTCTCCGCGAGCCAGCTGATAGACAAGTCGCAACAGCACCTCATGAGGAACCAATCCTGGCTCAGACCTAAGCAACCAAGTTCTCCCTGCCCAAGATCCCCGTCACCATGGATCGCATGTCCAAGACCGATCTTGTTCTCCGTCTCCGTTCTTACGGAGAAGAGCCACCTCGTGCTTGGACGAAGGTGGAACTCCGGCAGCGACTTCATGCTCTTGCCGACTTGGGAGAGGTGGTCCTCCCAAAAGGAGGGAAGCAGAAGGCGGCCTTGCAGGAGGCGGTGACCGAGCTCAACAAGGCGAGCGCCAAGAAGGCCATCTTGGTGGAGCACGTCCGCACCGACCTGGGGATGACTGTGACTTCCAACGAGACCATGGCGGTGATCCAGAAGCGCGCCATGAACTTCCTGTTTCAGACGATCGCTGGAGAGGCCGAGGACCTCCTGTACTTCGGCAAGTATGCGGACCAGACGTTCGAGTCCGTGGCGATGACCGACAAGTCCTACTGCGAGTGGGTGAAGACGACTGCGAAGGAGGAGAGCTGCTCCATCCACCTGTACCGCTTTGCCAACTGGCTGGAGAAGACAAAGGTCAAGGACTCGAAGATGTCCAAGGAGCCGCCTGTGAAGAAGGAAGGGCCGAGCCAGAACCGTGTGACCCCACTGATGCCTTCGACGCCGGGGTCTGCAAGCAGCAGCCTGGATGGTGCGGTGGGCAACTTGGCGACCATGGTCTCCGAGCTCATGAAGGAAGTGAAGGAACTGAAGGAAGAGAAGGCGACGGCCATGCCGAGGAAGGTTGCCGCGAAGCTGGACGAGACCATGTGAGCCCCGCAGGACAACCGCTGAGTTATGTAACCTCCAAGAGTCTGGAGTATAAGTCCCAAATGGTGGTCCCCAACATGTTTGAGGATTTGATTGGTGAGTCCCGTGTTGAGTTGCTTGAGATCGCTTGTGAACCAGACAGCATCTTGAGTAAGACCTTTCAGGACAAGACGGGGCGCAGTGATGCCGCTTGTAGGAGTTCCTTGCGGTGTGGTCATGACCTTGCCACTCGAGAGGGCCTTTTGCTGGTTCTTGAGCAAGTGAGGTCCTTGAGGCCTAAGAGGCTCTGGATTTCTCCTCCTTGTGGAGCTTATTCTCCGTTACAGAACATTAATCAAAGGACCCCTGCCCAAATCCAGGCGCTCAAGTCCAAGCGCGCCACTGCCAATCTGATTTACGCAAGCACTTTGGAGATTGCCAAAACTTGTTTGCAGATAGGAATTCATGTCACCGTGGAGTTGTCGGAGCGTTGTGAAGCTTGGAGGTTGCCGGTTTTTCAGAAATTGAGGTTTGAGATGGGACTGTTTACGGCGGTTACCAAGGGATGTTCTGTGGGTTTGAAGGGTCAGGATGGTCATCTCACGCAAAAGGGCTGGAGAATAGTGACCACTCATGAACGGCTGGCGGAGGCCCTTCATAAGACCTGCAAGTGTCCTACTAACTACAAGCATGCCAAGTGTGAAGCTAAGAATGCCACCACGTCGGCAGGATGCACTAAGGAGTATGCTAGACTTGTGTACGATGCCTACAGTCGTGAAGGTAGCTTTCACAAGGTGATTAAAGAGTGTTCCGGAGAGTCCAATCTTCCTGAGGGTTTCGGGCTGGGGTTGTTGTGCACCTGTCAGGAAGCCAACCAGATGTGCGGTGCGTGCATGTTGCAATCGTCCGAGAACAGTTGCATGGCCCATGAATCCGGAAATCCCCAAAGCTCAGCTCAAGGATTAGAAGCCAAAGCCAAGCAGCTCAGCAGAGACCCTAGGAACCTCAGCCTGGACACCTTGTATGAACTCCTCAAGCAGTGTCCCCCCAAACAAAATGGAAAATCCCGTAGAAGCGTTGAGAGCAGTGTTGGTAGCTACCAGGTTTTCGGCTCATATGCCTATGGGAACCAGTATGGCGTTACCAATCGCACTCATGCCCACCCGGAACTGTGCCAATACATCAATAAGATCCTGCAAAGACTTCTTCCCAAAGACATGAAGTGGACTTCCTTTGCCCTGAACCACGGCTCACGGATGCCGATACACCGTGATCACAACAACGATGCTAAGCATCCCAACGGCAGTGTAGGGTTTGGGAGTTGTTCTGGGGGTGGTCTTTGGATTGAGGGTGATGGTTCCTTGTGTGGTAGGAAAGGGTTGCTTTCGACGAGAGAGAATCATCGGGGCGAGTTGCTGGAAGGGGCTGAGTACAACATTATGGGAAAGCCTGTGGTGTTTCATCCGGACTTTTGGCACGGTTCATGCGATTGGGAAGGCGACAGGTGGGTCTTGACGGTTTTTGTGAGTAGGAGGGGGTTCAGTGTTCGGAGCTTGATGTGCTTAAGGCCCTTGGGTTTCCCACTCCTAAGCCCAGCCTCCTTGAAGCCTACCCTGCTGAACATGGCATGAGACCTCCCAGACCCAACATACGTCAGGAAAGGATTAAGAAACAACTTTATCTCCTTCACTGTGCTACGGGGCACAGCAGTCCTCGATTCCTGGAACAGGCCCTGCGGAAACGCGGGGCAGATGAAGAAACACTGCAGCTTGCTAAAGAGTTCCATTGTACTGCGCGCGCTGAACGTAGCAAACCTGTCCCCCGGAACCTCGCTGCTTTAGAGCCTCTGCCACCCAAATTGGCCACTATTAGTGCTGATGTGGGACACTGGGTGAATCCTCATTCTCATGAAAGCGTCCAGTTCATGCTTGTCATTGACGAAGGGTCTCGGTTCAGAACGGCCCGAATCTTGAGTGAAGGTTCTAGGCAGAGTCCGAATGCTCAGACATGTCTTCATTATCTCCAGGAAGGCTGGGTCCAGTATTTTGGTTTTCCGAGATGTCTTCGTTTAGATCCGGCAGGGGTCTTCAGAAGTGGAGCTGTTGAAGACTGGTGCGACAAACATGGCATCCACTTGGACATAGTACCAGGCGAGGCTCATTGGAAGATAGGCACGTGCGAGAACGCCATTAAGGGTGTCAAGAGTGTCATGGACAAATTGAGTTTGTATGACATGGAACTGAGCCCTCGCGAAGCCCTGGCAGAAGCCGTAGCCTCTTTCAATCACAAGGAGCTGATACGAGGATTCTCGCCGGCACAGCATATCTTGGGACAGGCCCCAGATGAGACAGGCCGATTCCTGGCAGCATGTCAGCAGTTGCCACCGGACCTTCTCGTGGAAAATGCCCACGGTGAATTTGCTAGGTCGGTCAAACTCAGGGCCGAAGCAGAAAAGGCCCAGAGTGATTGGAGTGCTGAGCAACGCACACAACGCGCACTACATTCACGACACCGCCCTTGCTTCAACTACCGTCCAGGTGAGCTAGTGTTTTATTGGAGAACACAAGAGGCCAATAAGAGCAGACGCCAACCTGGCGGGAAGCATGGCCGATTCCTTGGCCCCGCAAGAATTCTCGCCACCGAATCCCGTACCGAGGAGGACGGAACCATCCGCCCAGGTGGAGCCATTTGGCTGGTGAAAGGCCGGTCTCTCCTGAAGGCTTGCCCAGAGCAGTTGAGGAGAGCCACACATCGCGAGGAGCTCATCGAGTCCCTGGCGGAACCGAGTACCCAGCAGGTACCATGGAGTTTTCACGCCGTGGCAGAGCAGATTGGTGGAAACCGGTTCGAAGACATCACTGCGGTGCCGGAAGTACAGGAATGGCATCGAGCTAAGAACCCAGCTGAAGAAGTGCAGCCATCACGTTTTCGTTTTCGCACCAAGCGACCGGCGGAGCAAGCTCTCGAGCCCCTGGAGCAGGAGCCCCGAGAAGACGTCATGGAGGATGATCCGGGAGAACAAGGATCCTCGCGGACAAGAAGCCGTGGACAGAGAGGTTCAGCCTCCAATGAGGCAGCGAACCAGGTGCAGCGGTGGCCATCGAGATCCCCATGCCCGAGACCAACCGAGGCAGCAAAAAGGCATGGGAAGACCTGGGCGCGTACTTCACTGGAAGCTTGAAGCGCCGAGCAGTGGAGCTGTCTGAAAAGAAGATGACCCATGCCGAGCGGGAGGAGTTTCGAGGGGCGAAGGCCACAGAAGTGAAAAACTTCATAGCCTCCAACGCCTTCCACATTCTGCCGGATCATTTGAAGCCGGACAGAAGCCAAGCTATCCATATGCGGTGGATCCTGACGTGGAAACTTCGGGATGATGGCACGAGGAAACCAAAAGCTCGGGCCGTCCTCCTGGGCTATCAGGATGAAAGCTACGCCCACCAGGCAACCACATCACCAGTGATGACGAGACAGAGCCGACAGCTCTTGCTTCAGCTTGCTGCCTGGAAACGCTGGTCTGTGAAGAAGGGAGATGTTACGGGAGCGTTTCTTCAAAGCAGAGAGTATCCTGACAAGTTGTGTTGTGTGCCCACTCCAGAAATTTGTGAAGCGTTGAACATTGCCCCGGGCAGCATCACTCAAGTCCGCCGGGCATGTTACGGCTTGGTGGATGCACCACTCGAGTGGTGGAGATCGGTTGATACCTTTCTTCGGTCTCTAGGGTTTGAACGCATGTGGGCCGACTCCTGTTGTTGGGTCCTCCGACAAGAGGGGATCCTGAGAGGGGTCATTAGTGGGCACGTTGACGACTTTTTGTTTGCAGGAAAAAGTGGAGATCGCATCTGGGAGTCCAAACTTGAGGCCATCAAGACCCAGTATAAATGGGGAGATTGGGAAGAAGGGAAGTTTACTCAGTGTGGTGTTGTTGTCGAGCAGACCCCGGAAGGCTTCGAACTTTCTCAGCCTCACTACCTTGATGGGCTCCATGAAATAGGACTTAATGCTACTCGCCGCAAGGATAGAAGTAGCCCCACTAGTGAACGAGAACGAACCCAACTCCGTGCCCTGTTAGGAGGCCTAAGTTGGCACGCTCAACAGGTGGCGCCTTATCTCGCAGCAGAAGTAGGGATGCTCCTGACTGAGGTATCTCGCAGCACCGTGGAGACCATCATCAAGGCCAACATCCTTCTCAGCCAGGCGAAGGGCAAGAGCAGCTATAAGATGAAGATCCATAGCTTCAATGCCGAGGACCTCTTGACCTTGGTCGCTTGGGTGGACGCAGGCAATGCCAACCGCAGTGATGGCGGTTCGACTCAAGGGATCTTTGCGGGCATGTCCACACAGGCCATTCATGCGGGTGAAGTGTGCGGTGTGAGTCCCATAGCATGGCACTCCCAGAAGATCGACCGGACGTGCAGATCTCCAGGCGCGGCCGAAGCCCAGGCAGCAATCAATGGAGAGGACAGTCTGTACTATGCTAGATTCCAGTGGAGCGAGTTTCTCTATGGAAAGCCAGACCTTCATCAACCAGATGAACATGTGAAGAAGACCGGTGGTTGTCTGGTCACAGACAGCAGGAATGTGTACGACAAGCTGGACACAGAGATGCTTGTGGTCAAAGGAGCAGAGAAACGGACCAACATAGAGTTGTTGGCCCTGAAGGAGGCACAATGGAACACAGGTGTGAGCTTGCGATGGGTCCACAGCGAGGCTCAGCTCGCCAACTCGCTCACGAAAAGCAATGGCCAGAGGGAGTACGAGATGTACGTCCGCATGGGCCACCAATAGCGACTCATTGAGAATGAAAACATGATGTCAGCAAAGCGCCGTAAGGAGAAGGGCCTGAAACCGCTTGAGCAGGGCGTGATTCCAGAAAGGGTTAAGTCCATCTCAGAGTGATCTTTCGTAGATAATGTTCCAGATGGTCAGAGACCATCTTGATTTCATTTCGGGGGGGGGAAGGAGGCATGCAAGTAAAACTACTTGGTGCCCTCCATCGCTGCAGGAAATGCAGTACATCGTGCACGATCGCAGCTGCGAATCAGATCAAAAGGCCTAGTGCCCAGTGCAGAGGGACAAGTTAGCTCCGCCCTAGCCGAGCCATAGAATCCTTCTGTCATTGGGAGCCTCCGATTCGCTACCTTGGGTATCTCATCTACGGCGGTTTCTACCACTTTCAGGGTTTAGGGCTTTGGTACAAGGTGCAGTAGGACCAAGCGTGGTTTAGGGTTGAGGGGGTCGGAGGGTTTAGGGTTTGGGTTAAAGGTCTGGAAAGAGGATGGTTTAGGATTTAGGATTTAGATTTAGGGTCGTAGGGTCGTTTGGTTTAGGGTTTGGGTACAAGGTGCGGTAGGGCCGAGCGTGGTTTAGGGTCTAGGGGGTCGTAGGGTTTAGAGTTTGGGTTAAAGGTCTGGTAGGAGGGTAGTTTAGGGTTTGGGATTTAGGATTTGGGGTCGTACGGTTTAGGGTTTGGGTTAAAGGTCTGGAAGGAGGTGGTTTAGGACTTAGGATTCAAGGTCGTAGTTTGGGTTAAAGGCGCGGTAGGGCCGAGCGTGGTTTAGGGTTTAGGGGGTCGTAGGGCTTAGGGTTTGGGTAAAAGGTCTGGAAAAAGGGTGGTTTAAGGTTTAGGATTTAGGATTTAGGATTTAGGGTCGTAGGCTTTAGGGTTAAAAGGTGCGGTAGGACCAAGCGTGGTTTAGGGTTTAGGGGGTCGTAGGGTTTAGGGTTTGGGTTAAAGGTCTGGTAGGAGGATGGTTTAAGGTTTAGAATTGAGGATTTAGGGTCGTAGGGTTTAGGGTTTGGGTTATCGGTGCGGTGGGGCTGAGCGTGGTTTAGGGTCTAGGGGGTCGTAGGGGTTAGGGTTTGGGTTAGAGGTCTGGTAGGAGGGTGGTTTAGGGTGTAGGATTTCGGATTTAGGGTCGTAGGGTTTAGGGTTTGTGTTAAAGGTGTGGTGGGGCCGAGCGTGGTTTAGGGTTTAGGGGGTCGTAGAGATTACGGCTTGGGTTAGAGGTCTGAAAGGAGGGTGGTTTAGGGTTTAGGATGTAGGATTTAGGGTCGTAGGGTTTAGGGTTTGGGTTAAAGGTGCGGTAGGGCCGAGCGTGGTTTGGGGCTTAGGGGGTAGGGTTTAGGGTTTGGGTTGAAGGTCTGGAAGGAGGGTGGTTTAGGGTTTAGGATTTAGGATGTAGGGTTGTAGGGTTTGGTTTTTGGGTTGAAGGTGCGGTAGGGCCGAGCGTGGTTTAGGGTTTAGGGGATCGTAGGGTCCAGGGTTTGGGTTAAAGGTCTGGAAGGAGGGTGGTTTAGGGTTTAGGATGTAGGATTTAGGGTCGTAGTGTTTAGGGTTTGGGTACAAGGTGCAGCAGGACCAAGCATGGTGTAGGGTTTAGGGGGTCGTAGGGTTTAGGGTTTGGGTTAAAGGTCTGGAAGCAGGGTGGTTTAGGGTTTAGGATTTAGGATTTAGGGTCGTAGGGTCGTAGTGTTTAGGGTTTGGGTACAAGGCGCGGTAGGGCCGAGCGTGGTTTAGGTTTTAGGGTTTGGGTTAAAGGTCTGGAAGGAGGGTGGTTTAGGGTTTAGGATTTACGATTTAGGGTTGTAGCGTTTAGGGTTTGGGTTAAAGGTGCGGTGGGGCCGAGCGTCGTTTAGGGTTTAGGAGTCGTACGGTATAGGGTTTGGGTTAAAGGTCTGGAAGGAGGGTGGTTTCGGGTGGTTTGGGGTTTAGGATTTAGGATTCAGGGTCCTAGGGCGTAGGGCAGGGCCGAGCGTGGTTTAGGTTTTAGGGGGTCGTAGGGTTTAGGGTTTGGGTTAAAGGTCTGGAAGCAGGGTGGTTTGGGGTTTAGGATTCAGGATTTAGGGTCGTAGGGGTTAGGGTTTGGGTTAGAGGTCTGGTAGGAGGGTGGTTTAGGGTTTTGGATTTAGGATTTAGGGTTGTAGGGTTCAGGGTTTAGGTCAAAGGTGCGGTAGGGCCGAGCGTGGTTTAGGGTTGAGGGGGTCACAGGGTTTAGGGTCTAGGTTTGGGTCTGGGGTTCAGATTCAAAGGCTCAGGATCCTCTGATGTGAATTTGAACTTGTAGTCAGGTGGTGGAGGGTTTAGTTTTTGGCGAGTCCAGCTTTACCGCTGCCATGCGCAGCTGAGGAGATTGGATTTTTCGTGCACTTTTGGATAAGCACGTCGGCACAGATTCTCGAGGTGCTCGAGGTGTTTTCTGAGCACTGGATCGTTCTGGTGAGTTGTTTTAATTTTGGTGTAAACACGATAGATCTAAGCGAATGTGCCTGTGGTCCTGATAACGCAACATAGTCTACAGCGATTACTCCAAATTAAGCTCGTGCCAATATGTCGTGCTGGGGATGGCCATGACTAGATTTAACATGTTTGGTCCTATCCCAAACCATTGAAAACCATATGAGCTACAGTCAATATATCCTACATAATTAAATTACTAGACATAGGTTCCTTATTAGGGACAAAACTAGGGACTGACTATACAACACCACAAGAGTGACCCCTACGTCCACTGGCAAGGGTCCCTCAATAGAGCAAATATTCACAGTAGCTCATATGGTGTATCCGCATATAGGATCCTGTGAGAATGTGACCATAGATAAATTGCTTGGGCTGAGACGTTGCTAAGGTTGGGATGGGAGTTGAGGTTTACCATCAAATTCCCGCGCCCTTTTATTTCAAATTTTGGGATAAAGGAAAATCTCATACCAATACATCTTGCGAGGCATCTGAAGACCACCTGACAAGTGCCTTGAGGTGCTGAACTCCCAATGGGAGAGTACATGAAGAAGAATGTGTACTAGACTTGAAAACAAGAATCCTAACCTTCTGCTCCGGACAAAGAGGACTTGGCCAAAGGTGGATTTTTTGTTGAAGTCTCGTCGGCTCTGTTGTGCCCAGCATGCGCTCGGGAATGCTTTGGATTGCTTGTCAATCAGCTGAAATCAAAAGCCTCCGGATCAGATTTTGCCCTCATTGATTGCACACACTTAGGGTTTAGGATTTAGGGCCTTGGGTTCTTGTTGAAGCTTCAGAATCTAAGGCTTAGGAGTCAGGGTTTGGGGTTGGGGTTGGAGGCCGTTTAGGGTTTAAGGTGGTGTCGGGTTTAGGGTGTTGCCACACGTGCGTGGGTGTGGGCCTTTCTGGCTAAGGGCTTTGAGTGTAGGGTTTCCGGTTAATGGTTCTCAGATATCGAATTGAACTTATCCAGGTCTTGGGGTTTACAGGGTTTGAGGGTTTAGGTGTTATTGTTTTGTTTTTATCCAGCCCTGTTCCAACCGCCCGGGGTTTGGGTTTTGGGCTTCGAGTTTGGGTCAAAGGTGTTTATGCTTAAGGGCGGTGGAATGTTTGGGGTTTAGGGTCAGCCACCCAGTCTTCACTTTGGGGTTTCAGGTTTAGAGTCTACAGTCTAGGGCAGTAGTACTAGTAGTGGTAGTAGTAGTAGTAGTAGTAGGCGGCACCTCCCCCCCCTAGGGCCTACACTTTACTTAAAATGGACTATAATGGGAAAGGTGTGGGGGGGGATAGTTCCGTGCTGAGAAAGTTGATTCGGGAGGCAACAACTCGTGGGATGTGCGTTTTGGAAAGTATAGGGATTATAGCATTAGGCGTTTTCGGCCAATGATCCACGCAGGAAGTTCTTCGACCGGTAGCACATTCCAGTGGCAGGCACCACGTTGAGGTGATATTAA